CTGCCGGACCCCCGGTACCTGCCGGACGGTGTCCTCGTGGCCTGCCCCTTCAGGCCTATTCGGCGTCGACGTGTCCAACCAACTTCACCGTCAACGTGGCCGTCGGACCGGAGCACAGACGAGCTCTGGGCAAACTGATCAACGGCCGCCTCGTGCCCGAGCTCTACCATCCGCTCGGGCTGCTGCGCTACTACGACCCCGGCGCGACTTTCGGCGACGCGACTTGCGGTCCGGGCTCCGGAGGCGTTGGGGAGCCGGGCGGTCTGCGCAACGGTGCTCTGCGAAGCCAGAACGCTGCCGTTAGTGGCAGCGGCACCGGTTCCGCTCCCGGAGCCGATGCCGTCTCTGAGGCGACCAGGCGTCGACGACGCAAACGAGGCTGTATCACCGTCTGGCCCGGAAATTTGGCTCTGCGTCGTTGGCTGAACACGCGACGGGTCGGCCTGTTGATACCGAAGGCCAAATTGCGGATGAAGCTGTTCTGTGAACAATTCACTTCGATGTCATTCCCCATGGGACGGGCGATGGTAAGTTGGTCCAGACGCCAGAGGACTTGATCTAGTCCATAATTCTACCAACTCATCTATTTGATCTGACTAGGCTGAGTCGGTTTTTAGTCAAGAATGTTTATATGAAGCAGATTTAGAGACTATTTATAAATCTTGAGAAAAAGCTCTTTTTCTCATCGGTCGCATAAGGCGATGCATTTCTCCCACAATCATATGAGTAGACCTGATTTTACAGTTATGAACCCTCCTCCATCTACACCACATTCATTCACACTTCATGGGACCCTCGGTCGTGTTTGTACATTGTACTTGTTTTCCAAGTGGGCTTTCGAGCCTGTGTCCACCCTATTTCGTTTAAGATGATGAAGAGGACTGGTGGTTGAATTTTCCCACCATCACACCAATGGACCTCACTCCTGCATTGCATTTCACATAGCCTTGCTGTCCAAAATGTATTCTCATTCAGTCTGAACTGCAGTCAAGACTGTCCGTTGCGTTAGCTGTACCCGGGTCCCGTTGGGGCTGTTGAGGAGACCTAAGCGGAACCGAAACTGCAGTCCACCTACGATGAGAATACAGTTTGGGAAGCTAGACTATGTGAAGTCCAATGAAAACGTAGGGCCTACTTAACTGATTATGGTAAAATTCCACACATTGTATATTGTACACTTGGGAATCAGAAATTGAGTAATCTTCTTATTACCTTGTTTTGTCGGTCTATCTATCATTTCAGTCCAGCCTGAACCTGATAATTTGTTGCCTTTTGACCTCAAAAGATGACGATGGAGTGTGGATAGTTGAATTTTCCCACAATTGTATGGACAGACCTCACGCTTCCACTGAAAGTTCACTCAATTTTGTTGCCCATAAGTTATTCTCGTCAGGCGTGCATTAACTGCAGATTCGACCTTGCGCATAATCTTGACACATTTGCACCACATCGCACTAATTAGAATCAGTTTAAGTAGCGTCAGGGTTTTTTTCTTTGGTCATTAAGCATTGATGGCCAAAGCCTGACATTAGTCTCTTTAGGATCACTCTGATTTAGGTAAGGTATTGTGTATACAAGTTACTAGACAGACACACTGACAAACTCGCAACACTCACGTAGAAGTACCATGACGAATATGAAAGATAATTAGCCGAACCATTCGATATCTACCAATGTCCATACATTTTGGTCTTTTAATTATGAGTATGTATTAGATTGTCTTCTTGACCTAGTGTTAACGTGAGACTTTTAGAAGAATGACTTCCAGCTCTGATGATGTCCAGCATATCATGGACGAAAGCTGAGCCGGTTTTCACTTGGAACGAAAGAGGATGTCTGGTAGACTGGCAACCACACGGATTTCGTATTAAAGCCATTTGGCTTCAGAATGACAGTAATCGGCCGTA